TTCGCTTTCATTTCTGCTAAGAACACGGACAATTTTTTATACCGAGTTCTTTTTATATCTATATTTTTATCAGGTGGACAGGCGGCTATTAAATGGTTTTTAAAGAAGTTCGATGTCAATATCGGTAAATCGGTAGACTTGATCGAGGTTTTACAAGCTTTCAAGAAGCAATACTCTAATAGATCGCTCATTTCTTGTACCGGGTCAGATTTTACTTCTTCAACGGGATTTTCTATATCTTCAATTTTGTTCTCGTCCTCGCAAGGGGATTCTGTTTCTGATAATCGATCGTTATTCATTTCTAAATCGTTCATTGTTTCGACAAGCGTTTCTTCTTTACTATCGTTCCGTTGCTCTGGCTCATTCGTATTTTCGTATTTATCACGGTTACTACTGTCGTTTGGTAATCCTAAGTTTGGTCTTAATGGCGGCTTCCCCAGTTGGCACAGTGTGTCACCTGTTATGTGTATGATTTCTACACACTTCCCATAACCTCCGGACATGTACATGTCTTCACTGGAGAGTGCTGTGACTCCGACAGCAACTGCTGCCTGTAGAAACAAGGGATATATTTAAATTATTATTCTGTATCGAAGTACAGTGGAATGATGAAAAATCTTGATTTTCAAACTTCTCTGTGAGTCTATGAACAGAGATTCCACTGTATATTAAGAACAGATGAAGCGTGGCATGCCTTGTTATCATCTGTGTTCACCAACACTGGGGTACCCTTTTGCAGTTTCCCAAAAGAGTACAATGTCCTTGGTTCTTTAACGATGACCCCAGGTAACATCAAGTCTGCACCACCCGCCAGCTTCGACACAACCGCAGAATGGGTTGTGAATGATGTTAATAAATTTGGATGCTGCCACAAGGTGTATATAGTAGGTAACAGTATGTGGTGCAAAGATTCAATTTGAAAGAACATTGGCGTCTTCGCCACGCAATACACTTTGCCAACGTGACCATTGTGGGTTACGATTTTCAACATACTTATCGCCTCCTTTTTCGGAATCAACAATTGCACCTCTTCATCCGTTAACATACGATACGCAGCCAAAATTTCTTCGCATAACTTTTTCCTAGACCATATAAAAAACGAAACAATAATAATTTAATCGATGCAATTGCACTTAAATTGAGACGAAATTTACCTTTCCGTTCCCTTTAACTGAGTGTTCGACTTAACTTTGAACGCTTTGATAAACATTTTGTTTAAATATTAAATTGACACATAAAAGAAATGTGTTCAACACGAGTTCTATGGAATCTAAACAATCGGCTGTGCCCGAACCATCTCAGACTCTCAGAGCGCAGCGCACTTGAGCGCTTGAGCGCAGCCACAGCCGACCCGACAACAGCCGAATCTAACGCTAGCAATGATTAGAAATATGGCAACACTGCTTATTGTTGGAATTGAGATTCGCGGGGTTTTAGGAGTAGTAGGGGTAGGGAGTTGCCATGTGAGTGGACTGCTGTGGAGAGCATGAGATGCCATCAGCAAGGCAGAAAAGAAAAATAGTGGTGGGAGATCGAAGTGATCGGCAGAAAATCCCCCCTAAGGTCATCTTTATAGGAACGTTGGATACAAATTAATCAATTGCTGGTCATATTACACGACTATATACAGTGTTTTTTTAATTAAATGTCTATATTTCGACGTATATCATCCCAACGATAGATTTTTGGTTGCGAGTTGCGAGGCTTTCGAAAACGCATAATGACGTCACGTAACAGGATATCATGTGATGGCATTGTCGTGCGTGAGTTTATCTTTATCAGAAGTAGGCGCTAAAAGAGGCCCCTATGACGCGGAATCAAATTGAAACCAGTTTTCAAAGGGTTTTGATTATTATTTAACAGTTTACCTCGACGTTGAAGTACTGCTCGTGATACAATAAATATTGACTGGTACAAACTATTTTCTTGATAAATAATAGAAATTTGTTTAGTAAGGTACGTGGTAGTATACTAACGTCAAGTTTCAGTTTGCATTAGTGTTTTGTATTGTGATTAATAGATTACTTAATTAAGAAATAAATAGTAGAGAAAAAGAAAAAAACAGTATTTCTTGAATCCCATGCCTGCCTTCCTATTCGAGGCCTAATGGGACCCTTTTATTCCAGAAAATAAGTACGTCACTAATATACGCACTTTCGTATTGCGCATGCGTGCATAGGTGAAAATCCCATGACCCATGACTGTCCATTATTACTGGGTTCCCCACCCATTCCATCTCATTGCTTCGTGCTGCTTTGTGCAGATCTCACTGTATTAGTTTGTACGCTTGCCTGTGTTTCTAAGTTCGACGAACGCCTTTGTTTGATTTACGTTGAAAGTGTCTTTTATCTTGTAAATTATTTCAGCGTATGTAAGTATTAATTCATTATTAAATAAATAATCAGGGAAATGTGTGTATATTGTTTGATTTTAAAGACGTACTGTAGATGTTCTGATGCAACCATCTTTCCGAACAAAGAGTCGATCAATAAGTTTCATTCCCCGTTGCTCCACACGTTTCCATTACAAACAGAAATTTAATATTGAAAATTTAATAGGTAAATAGGTGATTTAAATGTGAAGAGTACTGTTTAGAATCTATCGTGGAATATAGGTCACGGAATTTCCGAAGCTAACCGTTAAGACGACGCCATTTTATTATAACGTAACATCGAATTCATGACACGTCATCTCTACGAAATATTTTAAGGAAAAGACAATTCCTATTAATATTTCGCTAAAATAAAGAGTATTAATAGACTACTCCACAAATAATATAGATCAGAATTACCAGATAGAAGATAGAACTTTCATTTCGTGGTCTCCTACATTCTTCCGCGAACATATTTTCAATCTGCAATATAATTAGTGCGTCTCACGCAGAAATTACAGTAAGAAAATTTCTTACAGTTAACAGGTATACAACCATGCAGATCTTTGTCAAGACTCTCACAGGGAAAACCATCACCCTGGAAGTCGAAGCTTCAGACACGATCGAAAACGTGAAAGCCAAAATCCAGGATAAGGAAGGAATTCCTCCTGATCAGCAGCGTTTGATCTTCGCTGGCAAGCAACTAGAGGATGGACGTACTCTCTCTGATTACAACATCCAAAAGGAGTCCACGCTTCATCTGGTCCTGAGACTTCGTGGAGGAATGCAGATTTTCGTAAAGACTCTCACAGGGAAAACTATCACCCTGGAAGTCGAAGCTTCAGATACGATCGAAAACGTGAAAGCCAAAATCCAGGATAAGGAGGGAATTCCTCCTGATCAGCAGCGTTTGATCTTCGCTGGCAAGCAACTAGAGGATGGACGAACTCTATCTGATTACAACATTCAGAAAGAATCTACTCTTCATTTGGTCCTGAGACTTCGTGGAGGAATGCAGATTTTCGTAAAGACTCTCACAGGGAAAACCATCACCCTGGAAGTCGAAGCCTCTGACACGATCGAGAATGTGAAAGCCAAAATCCAGGACAAGGAGGGAATTCCTCCTGATCAGCAGCGTTTGATCTTCGCTGGCAAGCAGTTAGAGGATGGACGAACTCTATCTGATTACAACATCCAAAAGGAGTCCACGCTTCATCTGGTCCTGAGACTTCGTGGAGGAATGCAGATTTTCGTAAAGACTCTCACAGGGAAAACTATCACCCTGGAAGTCGAAGCTTCAGATACGATCGAAAACGTGAAAGCCAAAATCCAGGATAAGGAGGGAATTCCTCCTGATCAGCAGCGTTTGATCTTCGCTGGCAAGCAACTAGAGGATGGACGAACTCTATCTGATTACAACATTCAGAAGGAGTCTACTCTTCATTTGGTCCTGAGACTTCGTGGAGGAATGCAGATTTTCGTAAAGACTCTCACAGGGAAAACCATCACCCTGGAAGTCGAAGCCTCTGACACGATCGAGAATGTGAAAGCCAAAATCCAGGACAAGGAGGGAATTCCTCCTGATCAGCAGCGTTTGATTTTCGCTGGCAAGCAGCTGGAGGATGGACGTACTTTGTCGGACTACAACATTCAGAAGGAGTCTACTCTTCATTTGGTCCTGAGACTTCGTGGAGGAATGCAGATTTTCGTAAAGACTCTCACAGGGAAAACCATCACCTTGGAAGTCGAAGCCTCTGACACGATCGAGAATGTGAAAGCCAAAATCCAGGACAAGGAGGGAATTCCTCCTGATCAGCAGCGTTTGATCTTCGCTGGCAAGCAGTTAGAGGATGGACGAACTCTATCTGATTACAACATCCAAAAGGAGTCCACGCTTCATCTGGTCCTGAGACTTCGAGGAGGTGTGGACGCTTACGTCGCAGACGATGACACGCCACATAAGCAGTTTACAGATCTTAGTTAGTAGCTCGATGGATCTCAATAACTGTAAGCTGCTCGAGACTAGAAATGTTGGCAACGTCTAGTAAAATTGATAGTATCGATAACTTTATTCTATATATTTACCTTTTTATATAAATTTCGTATTCCGTACTATTTGCCGCCAGTGTAAAACTCTGTTATGTGTAATAACGAGAATCGCAAGTTGTATTGATTCAGTATGTACGAGGGCAGATTCTTGTAATGCTCTTAAGTTCATTAAACAATCATTAACATATGGGATGTTTGTATATTCCTATCTGAATTTTATTTTTAGACTCCGATTATTTTCAGACAAGACGCCATCATTTATGTGTTTATATATATATATATCTCCAGTACATAGTTCCTAGTACCTATTGTTAATATTATTCATCTCTTCTCTTTCTTATTCCTTTCGTCCCTATTTTTTCTGCTCTGCTCCCCCACTCCCATGTTTCTGTATTTATTTGATCTTTATCATCTCCACTTTATCAGTTCTTCATAACTCCTAGTATCTCTTTTCTTTTTGTCAAACAAGATAAATATTTGTCGAAAGCACGCGCACATTTATTTTTAATCGTGAATCACGTAATGCAGAAATCAATTGTATGACGGAAGTTTTCCAATTCTATAGAAGTTTGATAAATCTTGTCTTTTATTCTATCAGATCTTCTTCGAAGATTCATTTTTTCAATAAATTCCGAATGTTAGATAAACATAAAAGCGTTCATGGAATTATAGTAATTAAGAATTCTATTTTATTTCGTAAATTTTTTTGTTAGGAGATTGAGCCTAACAAAATTTGGCTGATACCGGAGGAGAGGTAAGCAGAGTACGCTGAATAACGACACTCGAAATCCCCTTTTGGAATTAACAATTACGTTTATTGAACGGTCGTGAAACCGACCATTCCTAAAATTTCTTAATACAAAAATTGAAATAGATTAATTTGTTTTTGTTTGT